ACCTCAGAAACTCAAAAACAGGGTGGAAAGTCCCTCAAACATGGGTGTTCTTGGGGATTTCCCCAATCCCGCCCCCTTGCCGGCCGTCATTGGACGCGTCGGCAATCGTGCTCGTTTTGGGACCACAGGGAAAATTGATTGAAAAATGGAGCGCGTTTACAGCGGGCACGTTCAGACAACTCGTCCAACGTGCGTCTTTATCCATTGCTGAGCGGCAGAGGGAGAGTACCTGTCTAAGACCCTCCCCGACGTTTTTTTCCAGTTTTTCATACATTAATCGTCTGGTTTTCATCTACAACTTCATTATTGGTGGTTTTTTCCCGCGAAACCGTTCCTGAACTGTTGCTTTAATCAAAAACAGACACCTTCAAATCTAACCAAATATAACAATCACCAATTCTACAGATTGAATGCCTACCCTGTGCTTGTAGATCGGCTTTCTCGTCAATGGATCCAGGGATGGACCCATCAAGCGATCATACGTTTGATTTGGATACTTTCTAGCCGTTCCTTTCGCATGCTTGTAAACCAGACAACGACCATATCCTAAAATATTTCATCGACTGTTACAAAAAACACGGAGGTAAAAAGCCAAATGGTACCTCTGTCAAGTGACGCTTTGTTAAGCACCAACGCATCTTCAATATCATATCCACTATAAGACATAACCGCTATGATTCCGTTAGCACCAGCCGGGAGTTTCTCGAAATTTATCAGCTCAATAGTCTGAAACGTGTCTTCATACCGCTAAGGTGCTACAGTTGTAGGTATATGTACACTAGGAGCGTTAGTAGCTCCTTCATTGTACTCTTCAAAGCAACCACCGTGAACCTAAAGGACCAGCCCAACTCCGAGGAAAAAAGAGCTTAGGCCATTATCATAGCCTGCGATTCCATCGAACAAGCAATGACGCCATAGCTTGGCTGATACCCACTTAATCTTTCACCGATTGCATTCAACATGGAGTAAATTATTTATAATGAATGTCCACTACATACTGGAACTGCATACGAAGTACAAGAAAGTCTCAAAGTTTGGCCGTGGCTTAGGACTACGTCCGATCGAACAAGCAATTCTGCGATCGTAAGCTAGTAGCGCAGTCTTGGTGGTGCGTATGCTAACCTAAGAATGCGCGCCGAGGGATAGTGGCCTCAGGAAATACTAGGACAAGAATATTGTCAAGAAACATTCTGAGCATTACAAGTAAACCATCATCGAAACGATTGAAAGCCCACCTTCGACTTGACCAGTGGCCGCTGAGGGTAACAGAGCAGATACATTATCGAGTCGATCCTTTTCTGTTGGTTGTACGCGATAGTTCCCATAGCTGAAAGATAAGCACATCATTTGAAAGTTCCACGACGTAGTCCGCTCGAGACTACCTCATTAGAGATTTTTAAGAACACTTGAAACTACATCAGGACCATTTCACTGAACTCTGATTTGTACGTAATGATATGCTCACCTTGTTTACCCATAGCGCACTGATACGTGTTTCTAGGTGACTGATTATGATGCGGATATGGAATAAGGCCTGCACAGACTCCTAGCAAAGTGAATGGCTCAATCTGAATTTAAACCTCTGTCAGGAGTAAGATTAACTACAAAATACTCACTAAAATATAGATTAAAAACCAGACCTCCAAGTGGGTTGTTTTTGCATTTACATCCGTCTCGTGCACTGCAATGAGCGCATCATTCATTTCATTCACATCCAAGTACTCTATCAACCCGTCATCCACAAAATCCTCGAAAATTCGTTGACCATCTTTCAACTCCTGAAATTGTACGAGCGCTGTTAGAACGAACAATGAAGGCAGTGTCGATAGTACTGAAATTCCGGCGCGAAAAAATTCGGAGGGATCTGGCGTCAATGACGTCATTCCGACCATCTCAAATTCAAGAAATTCGAGTCGATATTGCTGCTTGCTTCAGTGACAACTAGACATCCTCTGTGTCGGCTTAACCAGATTTCAGCCTTTATGACTGTCCCGAAAATCGCAAGGTATCCTCGTGAATGTAGATGAACTTGCAGCTGAGGATTCCTTAGAGAAGTTGATCGGCCAGAGACGCGGCAATTCACTAAATCGAGACGCCGTGGTAAAAAAAAATACATGAATCTATCCAAAAACAGGATGCACGCGATCGCATTTTAATAGGCAGGCTTGGCAAAAAATAAAATTATCAAGAAACCCCTTAATTGTTCGTCTGAGTTATAGAGCGAAACGAAAACCCACCTCATTATCTTTATTTACTTCAAACTAATTTCAAATGTTTTAAGTTATTTGGCGTTGTTCTAATTGCGTAAGGAAGCCAGGTCCTTAAGAGATACTGTTTTATGAGCAGAAAAGTTTCTGAACCTGAATGTGATGGGGTTGAAGAAGAACTTTTCCATTTTCGACAATTAGATATGGACGACAGAGCCGACCTCCATCACTTGCGATGTAAACAGCGCGCAAAGGAAGCGATCGAGAAACAGACACGAATTCAGACAGCAAACCGCTTCTGCTAAGAACCAAAAAAACGAATCTACACTGGCCCATAAAATCAAAAAAATTGGATGACAAAAGCCAAATTGGACAGCTCCTGAAATGTATTTTGAATTAATTATTAGATATCATACGAAATAGCTCGACGGAAATCAAGACAATCAAAAAGAAAATGAGCCCTCCTTGGTAAGTCATTGTCACCAAAAAAGCATTTACGTAATTCATTTCAAAAACAAAATAAAGAAAGAGGGATCAAAATACTCGAAGACACAAGTAGAGGAAAGGGTGCACCAAAGAATGCAGAAGTATCAAACGCTGGCTTACCTCCTCACCGTTCGTACAGCGCGCACTACACGAGCTGGATCAACAGTTGTGCCAACCAGAAGACCGTTGAGAAACACTTGGTGATAATTGCTGAAAAACCGTGATAGAATACAGTTAATTAACTCAAGGTGTTCAATCTCCAGCTTACGGATTATTGATGTGAGAAAAGTGCATATTTTGAAGATCCTCCACCCCAGAATTGAAAAGTAATCGAAGTACCGGCTGAAATGTAAGTATTAGGTGTAAACTGGTGGTGAAGCACGGGTGCTATAATCCTCCTCCAAGAGCGTACCTAGAGGTAATAGAATAAAGATTCAGCACACTTACCCTCTCATCAGAATCGGTCGTTATGTGTGATATGAGTGCTAAGTTCTTCACCAATCCGCAAGCTTCTCCTTCTGGCGTATCACTCGGACACAACATTCCCCACTGAGAAGGCTGTAGAGATCTTGGGCCAGAAACCTGAAAACAGTTTTACATCATAAAATCTGAGAAGATAATTTCTGAGATGACATCCCTTCTCAATTTTGTAGCCACTACCGTCACCAATAAGGAGAGGGCAAAACGCGGCGTTGCTTATTATCAGCTTTGTTTTCGTTATGCGTCATAGAACGCTGTACTATGAGAGTGAGACGTGCACTCGTCACAAATAAGAATTCTGCACAATTTAAGAAATCTAATAGCATCTCCTATGATTGTTTCCTCGCCACAACCCACTGCAAATCGCACTTTACCCAAAATTGCGACATGGTGCTGTACCCATATCTTGACTCCCTTCACTTCACAAACAAGAATATATCCCAACACCACTGGAAGATCAGGCATTTTCGCTACCAAAAGCCTTAGACAAACAGTATAACATCAATAAATACCGCTGGATAATAACTCACCTTACGAGTCTTCTCGAAAGTTGAGTTAATTCTTGTCATCATTCCTAGAGCTGAGATGTACGACAACCGACTCAGCACCTGCAAATTTTGAACTCTCATATAATGTGTTCTATTTCGACTTATCAAGAATCCCATTCAATAACCGGAGGCATTCATTACCCACTTACCTGGGTAACTCCATGCCGTTCCATTCGGAACCGCTTAATTATCCAGTTTCCTGTGGAAAGGGCATTCGAAATAGCATGCGTTATAAGATCCTTGAAATTCAATTCATCTATCAAAGTTACAATAGAAAATGTGATGGAATAAAGAGATATACCTGACGCATGTGTTTCACTATGTCGAGTGGTGCAGCCAAGGTTTTCCCTAGCGAGTTGTCAGCAACTCTCTTTAATTCGGCGTTGAAACGTTTCAACACGTCCTCGAAACAGCAGCGATAATAAGGACCCGGCCAATTCGAGTCGCTTGTTCCCGTAAAAATCGCGATCATCCAAATCACACTCACCAAGCTCGGCTTGAATTAACCTACAAAACCCTGATGGTAGAAAATCTACATCAGTATGCTGAGGTAATGATATACCTTCTCGTCATTAGACCCAGAAATATTGCTTT